CGACTTTGATACCAGGACGGTATTCGATCTTGTATTGGTTTACTCTTAGCTAGGCTTCCTGATGGGAACGCCGGACTCCCCCTCAGCTTGGAAGGCTTGAAAGCTATATAGCTATTTTTAATAGCTACAACCTAGAGAAAATTCTAGCGAGGATAAGGTCCCGTTTGTCATCCATTTACAAGGAAATAAGTGCAGCTATAAAAGGTTTATTGAAAAAGGTTGGTCGAAAGAATCTGGTAACAAGAAAGGAAATGCCACCCACTATTCTAAGACGCCACCTAGATCGTAGCCACTTGCATTACCGTCTCTGCACAACGGAAAATTTCACAATGTGCCCTAATAGTAGACATGCTGATTGCAAGAGTTCGGGTGCGGATTATCCGATCTCCTGCAAAGCGTGTGCGAACGTATGCAACGGCGGAACGGATAGGTCATTGTACGTCCTATAAAAAAAACTTTGTCGCTACACTTAGTGTTAAACAAAATATTCCAGTAGGCGTATATTGGGCAGAGAAACATAACAAAGAAGCTTTCGAAGTAGAAGTTACTTTCCTCACACAAGAATCGAATACTTCAGAGCGCAGAAAACTCTTGAAGAATTCTTGATAAATTACACGAATCCGAGAGATGAACCGCAGCGAGGAATGTCACATTATCACGCATGACCTTACACACTATTTAAAAGTGATGTTTTAATGGGAGAAGGACAAATTACTCATCCATGTGAACTTTGTCTTTGGGCTTCACGTGAAATGCTCAGTTCCGTGAGTATGTGAAGAAACTATTTTGTTTTCAATGCGATTGAAATCTTGGCTTTCTGATTTTTCTGCACTGGTTATGGAGGTGCCCGGCTGACTAGATTGCGGTTAACGTGACCTTTCCAGGTTTTGAAGTAGGCAAAATCCGCTGCAACGTCAGTTCCTTTGTAAATAAAGAATAAAGTAAGGACCTTGTTTGCACCAAGAAACTATTGCAATATTTGATGAACGCTGAAACTAGTAGAATGTCGGTATTAGAAAACGCTCGTGTTGTCTCGGATAAAGCAATTTCCCGAAGAATATGAAACCTACGGGTATCAAAAAGCTTCTCTGAAAATGAAGTCACCTTAGCCTAGACGGACCCAGAATGTACTCGATCTCAATATGGTATATTCTACTGCTCAGACGATGAGATTGGACGGTACAACAGCAGGTGATAGAAGATTAGATAACAGGTACTACATAATACTGCCTTTCTGTCAACGACACTCCATTGAAGCCATTCCTACAACTCTCCTTGTAAACATCAGGCCGAATCTCCAATCAGCAACGGAACATCGAAAATTCTTTCAAAGAACAAAACTATAAAGCTTAACAGCGTCGAGCAGTGCTTGTAACGGAATGGTTAGCGGCGGAGTGTAGCGGTTCAGTATTGATGTAGAATATTAGCCACGCGGGTCCTTTGGTAGTTGTATTGATCTACCAGCCTCATACTTGGGTAATAAAACCTTTGATACATAAATACAACGTTAATAACATAATAGTAACGATAGAGAAGTAATGGTAGAGGAATGACGCGAGTTAAGGCTCTGTGGTGCTAAGGCTTGTAGTGAAGCTAGGCTAACAACGAGACAATGGCATTCAAACATCATTATACCATTAATACAATATTAACAATAATAATGAATGATTACAAAGAAGTAACCGTTGGTTAGATGTGAGCGATGCCGCGCCGCGTCTATCCGCAGCGGCTGAGGGAGACAGTATGCTGTGGGCGGAGAGTGTTACAGACTAGCCGTGTTTCGGCTGAGCTAGGATTTCAACATTATAGCGATGAGGTGCATTTTAATGAATCGACGAGGACAGTAAGTGATGAGTCATCTACGGAGCACAGTCAGGCGGCTGGTCGTGGATAACGTTATGACAGCAACGTGAACTTTGAGCATCGATGGGTGCCACCATTGCCTCAGAGTCAAGGACCAGTATAATAATGGCTGAAACTGGTAAGCCTATAGCGGCTTAACAGAATACATAGCATACGTTGGCCGCTCAGAGGCATTGTACGCATGGCGTACATTGTGGGAAGAATGGTACATGCCACCGATGGCGTTGCAAACAGAACGCATTTGGAAACACCCGCCACTACTGACATCGCACCGTAGACAAGCTAAGAAACAAGATACAATAATCTGCTGATTACTGAATGATGAATGTGAATGTGTGAATGAACTTGAATGGGTGTGAATGAATGTGAATGAATGAGAATGAGTTGAGATGATTGAGGATAACTAAGAATGATACTGTGAGCAGAGGATTATCCGCGCTACCGACGAGGGTAAGTTGAGTGATGGCATGTCTTCGTCGTCGAAGGCACCTGGCTTATAATGGCTGCAGGAGCCGCGTGAGTATGCAACCGCGACTAATCTGGATTGTTGATGCTGGACTAGACTGTACCTAACTGCCTGGAATATCAAACGTCATTGACTTCGTTGTTTCGCAAGAAAGTAGTAAACTGTTCCACTGTTACGCCTCCTTCGGATAAGCCGTTGGTTGGTGTGCCACTGAAGTCAAAACCTGAACCGCTATTGTGCCTGAATTACTGAACATAATTGACCGAGTAGATTATAAAAGTTACATTGCGGTGTTCGATGTGCGACTGCGAGGCGGCCATATATCGACATCAAATACTATTGTCTAGGAAGATAGAGAACTTTTTCAGAGAGAAGTTCTCTATATATAGAACCTTTTTTTGGATTGGGTAATCCTGTTGAGAACCAGTGGGAATTTTGTTCTATATTATTTTTGTTTCATTTACTTATACCACTCGATTTTGCGTATTGGCGCATAACACCATTTTTTTTTGCTCAGACAATTGCCTTGCATCCATCATCCAAAAACATCTTCGAAGATCACTTATCACTTCAACACATTGTCTCTCACTTAAAGAAAGTGACGTTGAATGATAATCGAATTGACTCATTTAGTACTGCTTCCATGGGCAGAAGTTTCCTATGTGCACCAGAATTAAGAAGCAAGCAGTGGCCACGGATATCTCTCATATGAGGGATCTCGAGCCTGTTAATCGCGGAGCTACGTGGCGCGTCACCAGTTGGCGGATAGGGGTTAATTGCGAACCAAAAGCGACCTTTGCTTCCCTAAGACGCAGGTGGATCTAGGAAATGAACTCCCTGTTGATGCTGCCCCAATTTGACACATACTTTCCGCATTTGCTAAGCGTATTCATCCATGCGTGTGTGTGTGTGCGTTATCGCTTATGCGGATTGTATTCTACGGGTCAGTTTGGCCAAGAGCTTGCAATCAAGTGACAGGGCAGTAAATGGGAGGCAATTAGGAGTCGCCTCAAACAAATAAGCTCCATGTCCACTCTGGGAGAGCCTGGCAAGCTACCCATGAGTATACCCAGCCCCCGGGTTGAGAGCCCAGCAAGCTATACGTGGGCATCAAAATGCTAAGCACGGTAAAAAAGCGGGCCTCATTCCCCTGACCCCGAAAGAGTCCCAGTTTCGCAGCGTTGGGTAGGACGAATACGCAGAGGCTGCTGAAATCTCAGGGCCAATGGAAGCTGCCTGGATCACGAAGAACTACGGTGACGATCTGTACCTACAATGCAGGTACACTTGCATCCGAGTCCTCGATAGAAGATTTGCTCATGCAAGCAAGAAAGATAAGGTACGACGTCATAGGCATGGCCAAGACGAGACGACACCACCCATTCAACGCCGTCTATGACACCGGAGAAGAACTATTTCTCGGAACATGCGACAGTAGAGGAGTCGGCGGGGTCAGCGTTCTCGTCAACACGAATTTGTCCACGAACATCAATTCATTCGAACAACTTACAACCTGAATCGGACGTTAACGATTAGAAAGCTGTGGATTAATACCAGCTTTGGCAATCTTCGCCGTTTGCGTGCCGACTTTGAGCTATGACAAAGAAGAAGTTGAAGAGTTTTACATGGACTTGGAGAAGCTGTACGGAGACCATACATTCTTCGAGGTCATCATTGGAGATTTTAACGCCAAGACTGGACCAAGAGAACGTCTGAAAAACGTTACATTGGGGTATGCGGGTTGGAATGGACGAACATAATGGGCGGCTCTGTGAGTTTATTACGACGACCAAGACCATCCATAGTAACTCGCAATTCCAAAAGTCCCACCCCCAACGATGGATGTGGGAATCTCCCAGTGGAGAGTACCATAACGAAATAGACAGCATCATAGTAAACCGATGGTTTTGCCTGACCGATGTTGCTTTTGTCCTAAAATTCTACACAGAATTAGACCACTACCTCCTTCATGCAAGATTCCATTTCTCGTGGAAAGGAGAAAATTCCGCTAAATTCCAAAACCGAAGTCCAAGAACCACCGTAAACTGGGATTTATTCAATTCATTAGTCGGCTGTTGGAAAGATGCCATTGTCGAAAACATTGACGAAGAATACAATCGATTCATTCAACATCTTCACGTTATCGCTATGAAAGCTGAGAGTTCGAAAGTCACCAAAAGAATTCTTTCTCCAGGAATTCTCGAGCCTAGTGTGGAATCGCACGAGCTGCAGGCAACCACGAACTAACGTCCGAATTTGCAAAACTATGCAGACAGGGGATAAAAGAAGATCTTAAAGTGAGAAGAGGAGCGCTAATGGTCAAAGCTGCAGAGGCTGGGAAAAGCATTCGCAAAGCCCACCGAAGCTTCCCCAATTACATTGCCAAAATGATTGTACTCCGGCACCCAGACGGAACAGTACAGCGTCTAGAAAGACAATGGAGAAAATTATTCACGAATACTCCTCGGATCTCTTTGATAGCCACGTCAACCTTCCGTAACATGAAATAAAGGAGGATGGATGTGTTGCACCACCGGTTCTCCCTTCTGAAATCCGAAATGCCATTTCGTCGGTGAAAAATCGAACAGCACCAGGTCCGGACAGGATCCTTAGAACACCAAACATTAGCAAAGCAGAGCGTATGCTTGCCGACTTTGATAAAGCCTGTGGAATGCTTGGTCTTCTACTAAATCTCACAAAAACGATGTTCATGAAGAACGTATTGGTTTCGCATGCCCCATTCACGCTCAACGGAACGAATACCTCCGAATGCTCCAGTTATATCTATCTAGGTCGGGAAATCAATATGATGAACGACCTAGCTCCAGAGTTGATCAGAAGAAAACGAGCGGCTTGGGGAGCTTTCAAGAGCATCGAGGATGTAGTGAAGAGAACAAAGAACACCCGACTCCGTGCCCACCTTTTCGACTCAACGGTGCTTCCTGCCATAACGTATGCGTCAGGAACTTGGTCATTGCGTAAACAGGATGAAAGATTACTCAGCGTTATTGAACGCGCAGTCGAAAGGACGATGCTAGAAGTATCCCGTTTCACACAAGTGAGGGAAGCGATCCGAAGCTCCGACTTGCATCAACGATCAAGAGTCAAAGATGCTGTTCTGCACGCCAAACAGTCGAAGGTAAGGTGGGCCGGACACGTAATGCGTATGAATGGCAACCGATGGACAAGAGCCGTTAGTGGCTGGATTGTTCGGGATATCAAACCTACTGCAGGAAGACCACCGACCCGATGGTCAGAGTTCTTTACAAGGAGCCTTGAAGAAAGATACGATGCTCGACGAGTCACTAGAGCGTGTAGGAGCCACTGGGCCGCTCTTGCACGCGGCAGGGAATGATGGCAGATTTACTGGCGCCCGCTCGAGTCACTCGATCATCAACGAGACTACAGGTGATACAGCAGCGGTATTGTTTAAAAATTTCCCTTGTGCAGAAATTCTCTTTTCTTTTCCGTTCTTAGCTTAGCTTAGGGAAATATATAAGTACTGAATAGAGAAGAGATCCTCGCTTTACCAGTGTCATTGCAGGCGTTCCTCGGAGCAATTCGCTACCCACTGGAGAAGTGGTTTCGTTGTGACTAGGAGCGCAACCATTTCAATTGAAGAGACTTTCTTGATAGTTCGTTTACTCTTTAACCGACGTCTTCTTGACCACTTGTCACCTTCATCGGACAGTATTTAACATTCGTTAGTGAAGTGAGAAATCTAATGAGAATGACTGACTCTTCGAAGTGTACTTATGACGTCCCTTCTAAAAAAACCGACATGAGTTACTTCCACGATCCTTCCTGACTGTTCTTTTCGGTTTTCTTTTTAGTTTTATTTGGAGAATTGGCTATCGTTTCCCTCTGCGGGTTAAATTTTTCTCGCTGACACCGAATCAATTCATTTATTTTAAAGCATGATTTTTGCATGGTCAAATGAAAGGCTTCAATTCATTACTTTTATAAATTCTGCAATTTTTCACCGAATGACAAAGTGCCTTACTAAAATTAATTTTTCTTTTTTGACATTTTTCTCCTTTTGAATGTTCTCGCGTGTTTCAGTACCTGTTACTATTTATATAATGCAAAAACGAAAACCGATTCTATAGAAAATAAAGGATGTATCCGTGAATTCTCTCCTATAAGGGATCTCGTTAATTAAGTTAATTAATTAATTAGTTAATTAAGTTAATTATAACTATGCTAATTGTATATAACACTAATATACCATGTACTATACTTATATACTATTATATTATACTAATTATAGTAATTATACTAGTTAATTAAGCGGCCTGTGGCCAAGTGCCAGCTGGAGTTTAAGGCTCTCGCGACGAGTGACACCTATAGGAGCCATAATGATTTTGCTGGAGTCGCCGATCTGATACCTGTAGAAATCATCTTCTTTGTGGTTGTTTGTTTCAACACACAGAACTATTTTCCTACAGTTAGCTTGTAGAGTGTGGACATGTTGAGCGTTAATCCGCAAAAGCTCTATTCTGCAGTTGGACATATACCAAAGCTCACTTTCTGGACGAGTTCACTGGCCAGAAATTTGGGTGCTAGGCGACTACTATTCCTCTTCTAGTTGCTATAATGGATAATAGTTATATAAATATAAAATACTATGAGGTACCGACTATAAACTAGGTATAAAAAGTGCAAGAATAGAGACAACTCATAAGGTTCAAAATGCTCACAGTAACGTGTTGGGATGATAGACCACAGTAACAGACAGTGAATAGCATCAAAAATATCATTCATACCCATACAGCGATAGAACAGAGTTTTTTCTGCAATACATTCATGTTCACAACCCAGCAAGTCTCTAGTTATCGAAAAATTATTGCTTATTTCTTTACGAAGACCATGGCGCCATGCCGAGAAGACGAACAACTGTGAACCATCGACTCGGATCATCGGCTCTGATGAAGACGAAAATGTCGAAACATTAGCCGAATAACGTTGTTTATCAACCTCGTGTAAGCTTATAAAAGAAAATACATGTTGATTATTGTTCATCTTCAAAATTCAGCAGGTCCATAAAAGCTGAAAATTGGGCGTCGTCCAGTCCGCAAGAAAGCCGATATTAGGCGTTGTCGCGAGAGCATTGAAAGCAAACCATGAGATATCGTGGACACTTAGTCTTTAAAACTACAATGGATTCAAAGGACAAAGTTTTCACTAAGCTATACCTTTCCTATGTACATGGTGAGCTTCTTGTAGGGTAAATGCACATGAAGTGCTCGGCGTCGATCAGTTCCTAACAGGTGCTCTGTGAATCGATTCCTTTCGTAGCATCATGAAGGTAATTCAATGCTTACTTGCTCTATGAAGTGACTTATGGGAGCCTACTGATGCATCGTTTTCAGTGGTTTTATCCTTCCATGTAAATCCGCCACCAATTCGAGGGATCGTCGGCTTCGTTTGATCGCGGCATTTTTCGAACCGAAGGTCACTAGTGTGTTTAAGAACACCCCTAACCACTAGATATGCGAGTATTTCTGAGAGATTCGCATAAGCAAATTGTATCGTGCATACGACTTTAGCCGAGGTACCGTAGTCAACGGTTTGTCGTCACCGGTAAATATGTGGAGCATGAGAACAAGAGAAACATGGTAACATTCACTTCAAAAACAGTCGGAGTAAAGAGCCTCATGGGAAAACTGCAAAACTCTTCATGTACGATGTCAGTCAAGCAGAGCCATCTTTCCTTGGCTGTTCTGCTGCAACGCCATCGTCAAGTGTGACTTTACTGCTGCTTCTTACATCCAATCGAAGCTTAATGTGATTGCCGGTGACAGAATGACTGATATCTTATCATATGGAAATGTAATCTTAGCGAAGTGATATGATAAGCAATCTGACCACTCGCTAGGATTTGCCTTCACTATGAGCAAATATCTCTTGCTAATAACCAGTATTTTTTTTGGACAATTGGTGAGTATTGGTAGAGTTAGGAACTGCACAGATTTATAGAAGAGATTTTACTCCATCGTCTCAGCTAGTTGTGTTCTTTTAGTTTCAAATGCGCATAGTTTAAAACGAACCTTGAGTTTTCATATTTCCCAACGTGGCAGTGCAGGAACCGCAAGCCCCTATGGGTACATAGGGAATACCGTAGCGTCCCGTGGGACGAGGTCCCTTTTCCTCAAAATATTAGCCGTCGACAAAAAATAAACAGAAATACGTCTTGTGGATCGCAGTGAAGTGGAATTTCATCTTGATGAAAAAAGGAAAGCTCTCATATTGTTGACGTTTCTAGTGAATTTCATTTTATCGATTAGAGTTCGATCGGCCCTGGAACGTACCGGTTTTTGTGGATTGACATTTTTTGCATAAAATGCATTGTAATCAATGCACGTCGGTCGTTTTATTAATAATATCCTTGTGCGGAAGTAATTGTGCTCCTTTCCTCATTACAATTTTCCCTTTGTTAATGGAATACATTCTCAACTAAATGCGATCATGTTCTACATCATTTTAGTGAACATTTTAGTGAACATACTTTTTTTTTCTCCAACGACATACTGTTTATTCTACTTGGACCTTTGAGATGGTAGCAATAAAAAAAGATGGATTAGAGTGATTTTCAAATTCGAGGTGAAAATGACTTGGAAGATAGCTGCAACAACTTTACATCAACAAGGAGTTGCTTACATGCTTTCAGTGCAGTAGTGGTAGAACACTTTTTGCAAATCAGTTAGCTTTTCTTTAAGATGCACGAGAAAGTGCTGGCTGACTATCGACAGATTATAACAGCGAATCGAGAAAGGTAGACGAAGGTGATGCTCTGATAAAATTACATGAGATGTTGCAAAGAGCTTTGCGTCAACTAATTTGCGGTCGTTCGGTTCCTGAAGCAAGTTGTTAAGACAAAAAATTCGATGATTTGGTGCTTAATGAACCGACTTAAGTCAAAAAAGCCAAGCTAAAAGCCTGTTCTTTTCATTTTTCTTTTACGCAGCAAAAATGACTGGTTTCTAATGTCTCGATCATGCTGTGGGATAACTGGCAATGTTCGGCACTGTGCTTGGACAAAGATGAAGCTCGTAAGCATTTCTGAAAGCTAATTTCGCATCGAAAGAAGGTCGCGGTAACAGCTCAGTGGTCATCTGTGGAGTTATCCACCGCAATGTTTTAGGTCTAGAACTACAATACTGTCATGAAATCGATGGGACTCAACGAAATTGGTTCGTATTTAATCAGCTTAGGTCAATAGAATTGGCTCATTCCTTCTGAGCCACAACACTCGGCACAATATAAGCCGCGCAGCCAGCGCTACAGAATTTGGACGGGTCAGGCTAAGTAACTGACCATCCCACTCATCTGAGAACTAACCAAGGGGCGAGCACTCTTCCAGGCATTTTGACAAATAATATGCTTCCGAAGGTAAACATACAACAACTAATCCGGTGCTAGAAGTGTCTTCGAAGAATCTGTCGTTCCTAACATTCAGAATTTTAGATCACTGAGAAAGGTAAAACTATATCTTTCTGGTTAAAATGTGTGGTTTATAATGATGGTTATAATGATGGTCAATGAAGTTGAATTTGAACCGTGTTATATTTAAATAGCTATATTACACATTTGTTGTTATCCTAGCTAATGGTTTCAAATCCGTGGCACCGAACCGTAAACATTTTTTAACTAAACAATGTTTATTGTCGTCTGTATGACCGTCTGTGTGAAACAAGAAATTGCGTAATTTGCCCTTACGGCAGGGACGGTGATTGCATGAGTTCAGGTACGATATACCTGATCTCTTGTAATAATTGCGGAGATGAATATATTGACGAAACGGGCAGACCTTTGTGTATTCGTATAAAAGAGCACCTAGATGGCAAACGAAAACTAAGACGAAGTACCCCACTAGGCACGCATAGGATACAAAAGCATAGCGGAGACGATTTTGAAGTAAAAGTCAATATCCTTGCACAGGAGTCCAAAACACCAGCGCGAAAACTCCTAGAGGCTTTTTGGATCAATGCCAAAAACCCTACAATGAATAGCAGGGACGAATGCCCGGAGGTCATACGCGACTTGATCCCGTATGTTCGCATCGATTTTTGATGTGGGATGGTGCAGTCGTCAACCACGTGCGACTATAATCAGCTGTTCTAAACTTCCTCATTGGAAGTCACGAAAAAGCGGTGGGTTTTTCGAGAAGTTGTTGACCATGTAATTACCAAAGAGTCTTTCGTCTTTGTGTAAGTGTTATTGAAGCGTTTGGCCTAGTAGATTGTATATCAGTATACCCTTCCAGGGTCTGAAGAAGGCGATACTGCCTAAAAGTCAGCTAGTGTTGTATTGTATTGTGTTTTTTTATGGAAGTAAATGTATGCCGTTTAAAAA